AGAAATTCCATTGTGAGAAGGCACAAAACCATGATGGGTGAGCACCTGCATCAGGTGATCAAAAACCCCATGGCTGACACCAAGGCAAGTCTGTATCCTGTCTGGATGACCATTCAGGAGCTCTAGCATCCACCCCTCACCAGTCAGGATTGAGGTATGGTAGGGGATTGGTTCTGAGTCAGAATGAAAAAGGAGGTCATAGAGGCATAGCACCTGGATCATCACTGCTACTACAAGTGCAGCAAGACAATGACAACAATGGTGCTGGAGCTGCTGTGCTTCAAGATCCATAGCAGAGTTGTTTGATCTGTTATCTATTGAACTACAAGTTGTGTTGTTGTCTTATATAATCATCACATGACTACATTACTGAAGCAGAAGCCTGAAACTTGGACTTTGCATTCACATGGGCATGCACAGCTTATATAATCATCACATGACTACATTACTGAAGCAGAAGCCTGAAACTTGGACTTTGCATTCACATGGGCATGCACAGCTTATATAATCATCATGTGACTACATTGCCGAAGTTGAAGTTGATAACTTCAACTTTGACTTTGGAGGGTGAACAATGCCTCACAGCCATCAAGATGTGTTGACGCATTGTGGCAAGTTGTGACAGTGTCACAGTTGTGTGACAGGACTGGGCAACCACACTGCAGAGTCAGTGTTGCACCTTCCACACCTCTTGTTTTGTGTGCACTTCCTCTCTTGACCAAACCACTACTAAACCTCACCAGCAGGTTCATTTCGCCACTGTTTTCTTCAAGAATATGGCGGAAATCATCAAGATCTGGCCATTTGGGTGTGGAACAGAGCTGTCTGAGCTCGTCTTGAGTCTCAGGCACTGAATGTGAAGGCACTATGGGTCGTAGGCAACTGTCATACCTCAAGTCTCAATCTGGGGGACCTAGAGAGTGCTTGAGAGCCATTTGGAGTGTTGTAGGAGCTGTTTCAAAGGTAAGTGAGTTGTTCTTGAGTGCATACCAGTCCTGATTGTTGTGCAGTGACAGTGCATGATCTGGGACCTGCAGTGTCTCATTTTCACCCCCTAGGACCTTCTCTGATGGCCACTTCAAGAATAGCAGCTGATCTCCAAGATCAGCACCTCTATCTTCAGGCCTTGGGGTCGTACTTTCAGCGCTTGTGCTTGGAGGGCATCCAGGTATGTTTTGTGACTTGATTTTGGTTCGTTGGGCTTGAATGGGCACATTAACAGGGGAAGCAAGTGTCCCCAACCTGTTTGGAGCCATATTCACACCTCAGAGGGATGCTGTACCCAACCCCCCAGGTAGGGAGTGTGGGCATGAATTCCCTGCATGTTTTTCTATTGATCCCAGGTGTGCACATGTAAACAAAGTTGTATGTGGGTTGCAGCCATGACTATCAGGTACGTTGGTCCATTTTCTGCTGTGTAGCGAGTAGGTGCAGGGTACTAATGTTTCTCTGTTGGCTGGGACTTTGTGTATGTTGTGTGAAGCATGTGGATGTAAGGAAGGGCAACTTGTAGTGTGCACAGCACTTCTTGCACGATCATTAGCCATGTATAGTTCAGTTGTAATGTTGTTTCCAGGTGGAATGGGTATCTTCAAGCTTGTATCTTGATTTAGATGGGTTGAATGGGGCATGCATGGGCTCAAAACACATGTGTTCAAAGGAACTGGGCTATGGTGTGGATCCTCTGGAGCAGAGGATGTTTGTGCACCATGCACACAGCCTGTGGTGAGTCTCATGAAGTCCATACTTCCTTGCAAGCCTGTACTGACATAACTTCCAGCACTTGATGTTTGTGCAGGTGAGGAGGGGAGCCCATGGAACCAGCTGGGGTGTCCAGGGTCACACTTGAGTGCTGGATCTGTGGACCAGCTGTGTGGAGTGCCATACAGTGGTAAAGGAGTGTGAAGGATGGGTGTGCACCCACTGAGCAGGTATGTTTCTGCCATGAGTAGATAGAGTGAACCTTGTAACTGACCATATCTGATTGCTTGGCCATCAGTGACCAGGGAGCAGATGTTTTGAGAGAAGCAACATGGACTCATTGACTGGATAGGTAGGTAACTGAAAGAAGGTTTGTGTGCACCTCAGGGACAAAGTATACTGATCGGAGTAGCATGCAGGAGGGTTTAGCAGTGCTGAGATCCATTCTGAGAGTGATTTGCCCAACTGTGGTAGCTAGGACCATGTTTCCATTTGCAGTGATTATCTCTTGAGCAGGTGAGAGAGGTTTGAGGTGTGAGAACCATTCTTTTTGACAACAGATGTTCACAGATGCACCAGAGTCAAGGACTAGTGTGATTGCAAGAAACTGTCTTGTTGCTGTGCAAAAAAGAGGCAAAGAGGTTTGTTGTCACTGGAGGTTAAGCTTGCAAAGTTGGCTGTATGCTCCTCCATCTTTTTGCCTTTTTCTTCTGACACATTGCTTTTAGTTCCATCAGCCTTTTTCTTTTGACATTCAGACTCATCATGCCTGTGATATTTGCAGTAAGTACATTTCCCTTTCTTTTTCTCATCATTCTTCACCTTTCCTTTCTGATGAGAAGTTGTGTTAGCCATGAGTGCACTATGGGCTTCAGAAACCTGGCACAACTTTTCCTTGACTAAGACCTGTGATATGACTGTTTCAACAGATAGCTTGTTGTCTGATGACATGAGGATCATTCATAGGGTTGAATAGGAGGGTGGCAGGGAGATTACCATGGCTATGGCTACTAGAGATTCGTCAAGTGGTTGGCTGAGTGACTTAATCACTTGTGCTTTCTGCTGCATGGAGATGAGCTGACTTTGCATAGAGGTTTCATCTGTTAGAGTTCCATGAAAGAGCTTGCCAATTAGGTAGGCTATTGTCTGTTTTCCATGTCCTTCATATCACTTGTGAAGTTGCTTCCAGATCTCATGTGCTGTTGAGGCATAGAGTACTCCACTGAGAGGTTCATCCTTCAGTATGAGTGTAATTTGGGCGTGTGCTTCTCGGTCCTTTTCTTCCCAGTCTGCATGACCATCAGGGCTGTTTTTAGGGTCAGGAGCAGTTGTAGAGTTTCTGTTGACAACTTCTTTGAGGCCACAGATGTTGAGTACCATCCAAACTCTGTATTTCCAGGTGTGGAAGTTAGAGCCATCATTTTCTAGTGATGGAACATCATAGAGTCGACTGGAGGGGTTTCTAGACTTGGTAGAGGCTGAGGAGAGTGTTTGCAAGGATGACTTTGGCTGCAAGGGACCTAGTGACAAGGCAGAGGGTGGTGCAGAAGTAGAGCTACTCATTTCCATAGATGCTTGAGACTTGTAAGTAGAGTTTGTAGGTCAAAAAGCTGTATAACTAGAGTGCTTTGAGCTCAGGGCTCATAACCTTTTGTGGGTAGGAGGAGAGCAGAAGGCTACTCAAGTTAGCCTAGACACAAAACTGTGTAGGTAGTGAGTAAAGAAAAGACACTGTACCTCAGACTTGAAATGACAAAGTCTGAGGAGTAAGGTAAGACAAAGTGTAAGCTAAGTACCTAACATATTACCTAATCAACTTGGTGTAAACAGGATGGCACACTGTGCACCAACAGAGTTCACCCCTGGCAACACTGTCATGCAAGCTAGCCCAACACCAATGCCATGCTAGCCATCTCAGCAACACTGCCATGTGGGCTGGCCCACCACCAATGCCATGCAGGCCATCCTGGGATGAATGCCATGTGAGCTGGGCCAACACCAATGCAATGTGAACAGGCCCAATACCAATGCTATGCAGGCTGGCACAACACCAATGCCATGCTGGCTGTCCTGGCATCAATTCCACATGGGCAGACCCAATACCAATGCCATTCAAGGCATCCCAGCACCAATGCAATGTGGGCCAGGCCAACACCAACCCAAGACTAATGCCATGGAAGCTGTCCCAGCCAGCACTGATTTAATGTGAACCAGCACAATGCTAATGCCATGGAAGCCATGCTGGCACCAATGCCACATGCTCCAGCACATTGCCACTGCCATGGGGCCATCATGGAAGCTGTCCTGGCACTGATGTATTGTGAGCTGGCACCAGCCCCAGGTCCATGTGTTCCAACACATCCCCAATGCCATGGGGCCATCATGCAGGCCATCCCAGCACCATTAGAATGTGTTCCAGCACAACACCAATGCCATGGAAGCCATCCTGGAACCTATGCCATGTGTTCCAGCACATCCCCAATACCATGAGGCCTATCATGCAGGCCATTCTGGCACCATTGTAATGTGTACCAGCACTGGACCAATGCCATGGAGGCCAGCCTGGCACCAGTTCCATGTATTCTGGCATATCCCCAATGCCACAGGTCTATCATGCAGGCCATCCTGGCACCTTTGTAATGAGTGCCAGCACATCTCCAATGCCATGAGGCCATCATGCAGGCCATTCTGGCACCATTGTAATGTGTTCCAGCACAACACCAATGTCTTGGAAGCCACCCTGGCACTGGTTCCATGTATTCTGGCATATCCCCAATGCCATGAGTCCATCATGCAAGCCATCCCAGCACCATTGTAATGTGTTCTGGCACAACACCAATGCCATGGAAGCCATCCCAACACCTATGCCATATGTTCTGGCACATCCCCAATGCCATGAGGTCATCATGCAGGCTGTCACAGCACCATTGTAATGAGTTCTGGCACATCCCCAATGCCATGAGGCCATCAGTCAAGCTGTCCTGGCAATGCCATGAACACCATCCCAGTGCCAATGCCATGGAGGCCTGCCCAGAAATTATACCATACCATGCCTAACCTGCCTGACCTCCTGGGAGCAGGTCCACAGTGTATGTATGTACTGGTACCAGTACCATGCCAGAGATGCATGTATTACCACAATGGTGGCTCTGGTAATGACCAGAAGACTAGCCAACCACCTAGTACATTTAAACTGTGAATTCAATGCCCTACAGCCTCCAGCAAGCCAGAACAATACCATGAAAGTCACCATCATGCTATACAGCAAAAACAATTGAGTTATGCCAGCCAGTCATCATTCAATCATCTAGGTGAACCATGACTCCATTGGCCCTTAGTGCTTGTAACACCACAGCCTTGGTACACATCACCATACCAGATTGGTTTTCCAGTATCTGAATCATACAGTAACAACTACCAGCAGGGGTAGCTACTTCTTCCTGGAGATCACATTTTGACAATATAGAATATATTGCTGCATCTAACAAAGTACAAGTATAAAGACAAAAAAACACAAATGGATTGCAAAATGACAAGTACATTGATGTTAGTCAACTTCCATCCTACCTTCCTGTCCAGGTGCTGATCTGACTGCTGGTGATGGTGGAGTAATAGAGATTGCCAGACCTCTAGCAGGTCCATGCACAGGTTCAACATTTGAAGGAGGTGTAACCCTGGCAGCCTCCTCAACCATCCACTTGGCATTTTCAGTGGTGATGACCATCTGGATGTTGTTGGGTGATTGTGCTGGGATGAAGGTGCTGGTGTTGGCAATAGACATACTGCTGTTAAAGCTTAGGTATGCAGGTGGTGGGTGCTTGAGCAGTGTGGTGAATTCACTGGCTAGCATGCACCATTCAACAGGTTTACATAAGCACAATACAAATGCTCACTCCAGTGATGCTGTGATTTACAATAGTCAATGTACTGGTTTAACCATTGAACATATTTTGGTGGGAGTAATGTATGGCAGTTGACAGTCATTCCACTAAGTGCCCATTTCCATTATGAATGCACTTGCACATCCTGCATGACAACTGGTGAAAAAATATTGTGTAATACAATCTTATCACTGGTACCAAAATCATTCTCAAACATCAGTGTAATCCCCATGGCACCTACAATGTTTTGAACTTTCATATGGCTCCCAGAAATGTTAGATTCAGTTCTGGCAGTCCAGATAAACTCTGTAAGTCAACCAGTCCAAGGACCATTACTTCTAATGACTGTGTGCAGTAATTCTGTCATGCCATGATATGCAGCAGCTTGCATCTCTTGATGAGGATGAGGAAATGTTTACTGAAGATGACCTACCAGATGCACCATCATCCCCATTACATGAGCCACCTTTTGAGCTGTCCCTGGCTCAAACAATATGCACAACTGGAACAGATCCCTCCTTCCAGTCCTCTGGTTCACCCAGATCACATGTGCCAGAGGATACCATCACATTCCAGAGCACTCTGGAGCAGGCCATGGCCCTCTGGGGTAAGCTTTGGCATATGTTCTGAACCAAAGTGTGGCATGGCAGACACTCTGGAGCAAATTTGAGAGCAAACTGTAGCACATGTGCCAGATAATACCATAGCATTCTGGAGTACTCTGGAGCAGGCCATGGCCCTCTGGAGTGAACTGCAGCATATGTTTGGGAGCATTCTGTACCATGCTGACACTCCAGAGCAAACTGCAGCACATGTGCCAGAGCATGCTGCACTGTCCACAGTTTGATTACCAGTGTGCACCCTTTCTATTACCAAAAGTGTAGCAGGGTCCACTAGTTGATTACCAACAATTTATTAGTGTCTGCTATTTTACTAGTATTGCAGTATGCTCTTAGTGGTGTCTACATGTTTCATTACCACAACCATACCAACATTTTGGCAGTGCACCATGCCACTAGCATTGTTTCCTATATCATTCAGTGCCTGTAGTTTCATTACCAAGTGTCCATCCTGTTCTGCCATTCTGCAGACAACCTGTAGTGTTTCAGAGTACTATATGGCTATGCAGCACTGTGAATGGCACTCAGAGCTGACACTAGAGCTTGCCATGGTGTGACATGGCTTGGCACTGTCAAGACCTGGCTGATGTATAGGGGTCACTGCTGAAGGATGGCTGATGGAGGCCAATGAGATAGGGGCTGTGCCAAGGCTGGCAAATGTATAGGGGTCACTGCCAAAGGGTGGCCAATGTATGTCAGTGCTACAGTTTACTCCAGAGTGCTCCAAAATGCTATGGGTATGCTCAGGCATATGTACCACAGTTTGCTCCAGAATTTGCTCCAGAGTGTCTTCCATGCCACAGTTTGGTTTGGAACATAAGCTGCAGCTTATTCTGGAGGGCAATGGCCTGCTCCAGAGTGCTCTGGAATGCTATGGTATGCTCTGGTGCATGTGCCACAGTGTGCTCTGGAGGGCCATGGCATGCTCCAGCACATGTGCTGCAGTTTACTCTGGAATTCACTCTGGAGTGGCTGGCATGCTCTGGCAGGTGTGCCACAGTTTACTCCAAAATTTGCTCTGGAGTGGCCAGCATGCTGCAGTTTGCTTCAGAACATATGCTGAAGCTTACCCCAGAGAGCCATGGCCTGCTCTGGAGTGCTCTGGAATGCTATGGTATGCTCTGGCACATGTGCTGCAGTGTGCTCTGGAATTTGCTCCAGAGTGGCTGGCATGCCACAGCTTACCCCAGAGGACAATGGCATGCTCTGGCATTTGCTCCAGAGTGGCTGGCTTGCCACAGTTCACTTCAGAACATATGCCACAGCTGACCCCAGAGGGCCATGGTATGCTCCTGAGTGCTCTGAGATGCTATGGTATGCTCCAGCACATGTGCCACAGTTTACTCCAGAATTTGCTCTGGAGCAGCTGGCTTGCTGCAGTTTGCTTCAGAACATATGCCACAGCTTACCCTGGAGGGCCATGGCATGCTCTGGCCCATGTGCCACAGTTTGCTCTGGCATTTGCTTTGGAGTGGCTGGCATGCCACAGTTCACTTCAGAACATATGCCACAGCTCACCCCAGAGGGCCATGGCATGCTCCAGAGTGCTCTGGAATGCTATGGTTTGCTCCAGCACATGTGCTGCAGTGTGCTCTGGAGGGCCATGGCATGCTCTGGAGTGCTCTGAAATGCTATGGTATGCTCTGTCATATGTGCCCCAGATTGCCATATGGTGCCAATTTACATGTGCCATACATACAACACTACACTGCTGAGCTACCCTGAAGCATGCTGAGGTCTTGTGCCAACTTCCAGTGCTGATCTACACATGCTGCAGCATGCCACTGGATAGGTGACATCTCACACTAGGCTACTCCAGGTACTACAGGGACAATTTGATTGTGGCCTACTCATGTGTTATTTGATAATAGAAGCTGAGCTGGTCCATACTGCAGGGGGATGACTCAATGTAGGGCTCAACCTCCACTGGCCCTGTCATATGGTACAATGTAGGTACATTATGTGAATGCTTGACACATGATCAGTATGTCCTGAAAGTAGTTATGAGGGTCACTTTGTGAGCCAGTATGTGGGAATCATACATCACACTCCAGGTGAACACCAGGTTGAGGAGTATTCCAGAGTCAAAGAGTAAGCAGTTTGTGTGGCTCAAACATAGCTTTTCTGGAAAGCTAGCAGGTAGATGCAGAATAAATACTAGGAGACAGATGAAAAAATGGATGGACGGTGGGGGGGGGGATATTCTGTGCGAGGGTGCACTGCCAGGTGGCTCTTTATATCGCCAGAACATGAGGAATTGAGATTTTTGCTTGCTTGCACTTTCAAGGCTGAATAGTGTCAGGAATATTGCAAATGAGGTGCATATTGTGTGACTGCAAATCTTTGTCTTGGAACCTGGGTTGAACTGGTCATTGTCATGGGCAGAGACCTACCAGATACCTGCGAACCAAAGTGTTCTTTCTTGTCTACTGCATGCATTACAGCCCAATCGATTGGGTTCACCCTACCCAATGTATTCATAGAAAGCATGCTTTGTTGCATTGGTATACAACAAAACCAGGTGCACCATGTGGTACCTGACTGAGCCACTTTCCTCCAACATCATGTCCACCTACATGGTACACAAGACTCTATTCAATGAGCACACCAATTCTGTCAACACCCTCTCCTTTAGTCCATGTGGAACATACCTTGCATCAGGTTCTTCAGACCAGTCAATCTGCATCTGGAAGGTCTCCAGTGGTAGATTCATCTTTTGTGTTGTTTTTGACAGTCAAATCAACATATTGCTTTGGCATTCCATCAAAAAGAATACTCTAATCTGTGGTTGCGAAGACAGCACTGTGTTCTATCTCAGTGATTTCTCACTGGTAAGTGAGATTACTTGATTAATATCATTGTATCCCATTCTAATGCACACTGCATACCAAAGACTGGTTTTGCAGGGAGGGAGATCTGACTCAGTGTGAAGGATATGCCAATTTTCTGCTTGGACTTGGAGCCAAATATGGGGCTGTTGGCAATTGGTGTTGGGAATGAGGCTCACATCACTCAGGATGAATGTCTTCATAAGACTCCACTGGCTATCATTAGGTTTGGGATTACAGACTTGCATTGTTCTCCAGCAAGTTACACCACAACAACTAAACTTCTGCATCCTCAATATAAACCTCAAATTGATGGTGGTGGTTGTCAAATTTGTCCCTGATCAATTCACTTCTATGAAAGAGGCAAGAGGCTCATTGTTTCATACCTTAACCATGGTGTCATGTAAGAAGTTTACAGTGCTGATACTAATAGCACTGATGCAATATACAGAGCATGGGACATTGCTTCCATGACAGCACTTTGGCACATCCACTCACCAGGTATTCCCAAACAAATGTAGGTTCTAATGAAGTTATGAGTATCTCAGTGTACAAAGAAGTCACTATATTGGTACCTAATGAAGTTATGAGTATCTACACTACATCAGTACCAGGTAAATGAATGTAAGTATAGGTATGCTCACCTCAGTGTATGAAGAAGTCATTGAGGTGGAAAAGAACAGTGCAGAAAATTTATAGTACCATAATTAGTAAGTGTAGTGACATCAGAATTTAATTCCAAGGGTTGGGGAGAAATTCTGAGCCCTCTGGGTAAAACTCTGAGAGGCTACTGTAATTCTGAAATGCATTCTCAACACTCCCCCTCAATCAGAACAGAGTCCAAGTGCAGATGCAAAGTGTTTCACCTTGATGCTAGGTAAAGGTTTGGTAAGGGTAGCAGCAACCATGTCATCAGTAGGACAATAAATTAAATGAAAGGAATGGTTTTCCACAGTGAAACGAATGAAATGGTATCATATATCAATGTGCTTGGTGTGCAAGCATGGTAGCTGCCATCCTTTGTGAGTGTGATGGCAGATTGGCTGTTGGAATTCAGTGGGATAGGATGTTTGAGTGGTTGGAAAACTTCCCTGATGAGTCATTGAAGCCACAAGCCCTCCTTGGCTGCATGAGTTGCTGTGACATACTCTGCTTCAGCAGTTGAGAGTGTTACAAGTTCTTGTTTCTGTGAAGCCTAACTGATAGCTCCTCCATCCAGTATATAGGCATATCCCCTTATAGCATGTCAATGCTCCTGCGAAGCTCCATCTGCATTGCTATAGCCCTTGAGGCCTCAGTTCTGTATTTCTGAACATCAAAGTGAGTGCTTTTGTGCCTGTGATGTACCTGTAGATTTGTTTTACAGCTTCCCAGTGGGTCATGTTGGGTGCATTATTGAACTGTGCAACTGCTAGAGACAGCAAATGCAATGTCTGGGCACATTCCAACAGTGAGGTGCATAAGGGAACCTACAGCAGCACAGTAGGGTATGTTTTTCATGCATGCAGGCTTCTTTGGCTGGCTGCAGAATTTCTCCACAAGATAGTTTTATTCCAGGGTCCATCAAAATTGCAGCAGGCTTGCAGTTGGCAAGGTTATATTTCATCAGAATGGCCTCAATGTAGGACTGCTGGGATAGTGATATGGTGCAGGCTTCTCTGTTCCATGTCACCTTCATCCCAAGTAGCCAACTGATGGGCCCTAGGTTGGAGATTTTGAAATGAGTGCTGATCTCCTGTTTAAATGAGTGAACTGATGATGGGGAACTGCCTGTTACAGTGCAGTCATCAACATCACTGGCAAAAATGAGAATTTCTGGTCCTATGTGACCATAGAATACTCCCCAGTCTGCATGTGCCCTGGTGAGTCCAAGATCTGTGAGAGTGGCACATAGCTTCTGGTACCATTGAAGTGCACCTTGTTTTGAGCCATATAATGCAATGTTTAGCTTCCAAACTGGACAGGAAAAATTCTGCCCTACAGCATAGCCCTCAGGGAGCTCCATGTAGATGTCTTCCCCATCTCCAAGTTTGCCATTTAAGAATGCTGAGTGGAAATCAAAGACATCAATGTCCCAGTCATTGCATGCAGCAATTGCAAGTATAGTGTGAAGTGATGTGAGTCTTGTGACAGGAGCATAGGTTTCATGATAGTCGATGCCCTGTATCTGAGAGTAGCCCTTAGCAACTAGGCAAGCCTTGTACTTCTTGATCTCCCTAGTAGTGTTGCATTTGATCTTGAAGACCCATTTGCATCCTACAACATTTGCACCTTTTGGGGACTCAACAATGTCCCAGGTGTGTGCATCTGACTTAATGAAGATCACAAACTCCATCCCATGTGAGAATAAACAGCTAGGGTACAAGCAATGCTGCCTGGGAAAAACATTTTGGGGGTAGGCATTAGAGCTTGCAGGAGCTTGCATGCACATGTACAAGTCTCCTGCTTACATAACCACTGCAGCGCTATTTTCAAAGTCCCCTGGTGGAGTCCAAGCCCTGCACACCACAATTACACCATGATCACTGACAATCACAAATCCTACAAAAATTGGCATGCCCAGACAAAGCCTTGGAAAGACAAAGAACCAGATCACTAAGTGCACTGAATCATACAATTTGTATGATGCAGCAATAGCCTGACATTCTCACAGAAGGTCAGTGTACTCAGCTTGAGAACTCTCCATCCACACCACCCCCTCATTCTAATGACCTGCACACACTGCCACTGACTCCCTTACCAGCCTCCCAGCCTTTATCTCTTGGCCATGAACAAGGCACTCTGGTAACTGAGGCATCTTCCAATGAAGATCTTGTCACTTGAAGCAGAGCTGTTACAAGTGATCAGTGACTTCAGCTTCAAGCATCCCTCTGAAGGTAAGTTCTCCATACAAGTCAATGCCATGTCCATCATTTGACAACTGATTCAAATTCAAATGCAGTTCAACAAGAATGATGTATCCCTCAGGTGGGTTGGGCAATGGATGTCCTCTGCCAAGCAAAGTTGAGTCATGGCAAGACTGCAGTCTTTGTGCTTGTGATGCCACAGCAGTTGGAGCCTGTTGATGGAGAAGTATCTGACATTGTCCTCTGCCATACCAGGTGGTTTGTGAAGTGTGCACCAGATGTCTGCATCCATACTTTCTGTAGAGGGACTCTTGTCCAGAACTGCTTTGTGACAAGAACCAATGCCCCCTCATCATTATGGCCACTCTGTATTGGTTGAACACTCTCATCAGGGACAAAGTTCTGGGCACAAAGAATGTGATGCACTTCACATTGGTGAACAACTTGGTCAGTCCCATCAACTACTTCCAATGTCTTCACTCACCCCCACATAGTCTAACTGCCCTTGTGCCTTCTCAGTGCTGCATTGCCAAAGAAGATCTGAGTTACTTCAAAACATTCATTGTGAACACAAGTTTTCTTCCATGTTGATCTTGCATTGTTATTCTTTATAGCTGTTTTGACAGCCACTCAGAAGGGTTTCTAACTGATACCCTTACCCACAGGTATGGGTGCAGCTTGGGCCACTCACACCTATGGGAATATAGGTCTGAATGCATATATCTCCTTGAAACATACTTTCTATTTTCTATGTTATTACTGCATGTTTTTGCTAAACACATTTATTATATCTTGTTTGATTTTTTCTAAGAGAGAAAGACTGAATTTTTTACATGTTATTCTGACTGAGAATATGTTAGTGTTCACTGCATGTTCTTGTAGAAAATGAACATAATATCCCCTGGATGTTCTAGAGAAGTACAATCATCATGATCACTCAGTGTTCTGTTAAATGATACATTTCCCACTCTTTACAGTATCCCATGCTTAAATAA